ATTATGGGCTGAGAGGTTAAGTGTAAGACCATTGAGGGTAATACCTGATAGGCTAATCTTGCATCTGCCCACAGTCCTTGGGTTTTTATAAGGTGGCTTGGCCTAGGGACCACTTAGTGTAAGTGTTGGGCCCATTAGGAGTCCATGTGATGGGCTTCAAGGGGTTCACTTTTCAGTGAATTCGGCCAAGCCTTGTAATAGAGGTTGGGTTGAACCCATGTGGCCGATGTGTAGATCAATGTTTGGGTCTCACGCCATACAAAGAAGCCCAACTGTGCAGTAGTTTGGAAGGTTAATGAGCAAATAGACTTATTGGGCCTAAAGCCCATTTTGAACTGATTTAGTTGGACTAATTAAAGAGGGGCGGATCTGGGATTGGATCAGCAGATAGGATAGGGTCTTACCCTATCCACCCAGAGAGTCCAGATCTGAATTTGGATCTGGAAACCTACTCCAGTTGCCGCCTACTGCTAGTTCGATCTCCAGTTTTGTAGGAGCGATCAAGAATAGTTCTTGATATCAGTCTTTGGAGAAAGGCTGATCTGAAGTCATGCTCACTGCCTCCATCGAATTCTAGTTGAAGGATTCGGTTCTTGGGAAGAACACTGTTGATTCTGCTCCACCCTACACTGTGTCATCTTCAGTGGGAGTAGTCTTTGGAGACTTCTTTGGGCGTGAACACCTTCGTTGGAGGATACTGTTTCTTCGTATCAGGTATATCCCTCTCCTACTGTTTTGGTTCAGATCTGGTTCGGTTCTTGGTTCAAGATTGATCCTTGAAAAATGCAGTTTTTCTAAAATAGGGAATGTGATTCCCAGATAGGAGAGAGAGAAATTTTTGTAATTTCGCCCTACCTTCCTGCAGGGTTCGGCTATCCATATGATGGATTTCTCACTCCTTCATTCTACACATCCATTTGATATAAAGGCCAAGAGTAGTGAGTAGCAAGAGACATGATCATCCAAATAGAGTTCATTTTAGCAACAGGAGCAAAGGTTTTCAAATATTCAATAACAAAGGTCTGAATGTATCCTTTGGCCACAAGTCGAACCTCGTACCCCTCAATTGAACCATCTGCCTTATGCTTTGTTGGTTCAATTGGTTTAATGTTTATGTTAGTCTTATTTATGTTTTAAGTTCTTAGTTATTGGGCCTTAGTTATTGGCCTAAACTTGTTTTATTCTTTTTTTGTGTCTAGGTGTCCCATCACTAATCAGGGGCATTCTAGTCCATTCTTGTAACATTACTTTGTAAACATCTATATAAGATTATAGGGCCAGCTGAAGTGAGATGGCCGCCATTCTCAAATCTCCTTCTTTTCTTCTTCTTCTTCTTCTTCTTCTTCTTCGGCTGTTGTTCTCCAGCAAACATGGTATCAAAGCACTAATCGGTCTGACTGGTTACAGCCGCCTCTTTTCTCCACTTCTCTATTCCTTCCTTTTCTTTCTCTCTCTCCTATCCCGGCCACTGTGAAGAAAACCTAGGGCTGACTGTAGAACACAACAAGGTCTGTATCTAGGGTTTCCCTTGGTTGTAGGGCCCAAGGGGAGTTTGTTCCAGAAGCTGATGCCCTACTAGAAACCTTGCAGCAGGTAGTTGCCATTCGGCTGCTAAGAGAGATCTGTGTGGAACAGATCTAGGTGGAAGGACTGAGTTAGACAGTCCTAGTACAGATCGTAAGGGTGGTCACAATCTACGACAACAGAAGTCAAAGCCCAGACCAGTCCAGAAGTGTTCAGCACAGTGCAGGGGTGCATTGTTCTTGGTTTCAGACCTGTTATTAGGGGTTCTCAGACTTGTAACAGCTTCGGTAAGTGAGAAATTGTGTTCTTTGTACTGAGTTTTCAATTGTGATCACTGTAAGAGGAAGGAGATGTCTTCAATATCGGGAGAAGTGTCTTCTAGGGATAAGAGAACTGGTGGGAGGTCTTCTAATCGGGGAAACCCAAATCTGCACAGCTTGTAGATCACCAGTGTATTGTTGGATGAATATAACTTCAGAGAATGGTCTGTTTCAGCCATGCTCTTCATTTCTTCCCGGGAACTTACGGGTTATTTAGATGGACAGAAGCAGGAACCTGAAGTGGGTAGTGTGGAGTACGCAATATGGCCTAAGGAAAATGCTACTGTTATGTCCTGGCTGCTTGCTTCGATGACTCCAAGAGTGGCCAGGTCTAGGTCTGTTCAACACTTTCCCACTGCTGCTAAGATTTGGGAGAAAGTGTCTAAAACTTATGGACAAAAAAAGAACAATGCAAGAATCTATAGGCTAAACCAAGACATTGCTGCATTGAGACAAGGAGATATGACAATTGCAACTTATTTTGCAACCCTAGAAGGACTATGGGAAGAACTTGATCATCATCTTATTCTAGGTCGGGAGAATGTAAGAGACAAGGAGAGGCATGATAAACAAATTGAAGAAGGTAGAGCCTTTAAGTTCTTGGCTGGCTTAGACCCAATGTATGAGAGCATAAGGT